CAATCAATCAATCAATCAAAAGAGAAAAAAAAAGTAAAAAACAAAAATGGGAAAACCCGCTTTTCTTGTTTTTTGTTTTTACTTTTTTTTTTTCTTTGGATTGATTGATTGATTGATTGATTGGTTGATTGATTGGTGGGGAATGGGTCGCCCCCCCAACTCCCACTCAATCACACACACACACACACACACACACACACACACGCACGCCCTTGCTCGTATGACAGTAGCATCAGCCTTCAGGTGTGTGTTTAGAGCAGGAAACAGAGGACTAGTGATTGACCTTATGCATTCATGATTGTTGTTCCATCCCCAGTGATTGGGATCAGACATTCACACTGTTTGTGCATGAAGCTCTCTGCTTGCCAGTGATTTAAATCTTGCTCTGTCATCTCTGTTTATCTATTATCTTTGGCTTTCTGATTTACAAGTTTTCAAGCATCTATTTTTTGGCAGTGATTTTATCATTTTACTATGATTTTAGTGATCGCTCTCACCACCCAAGACCACGTATGTTGTCGTTCTGTTTCAGGTGGCCATCGTCGTGGTATCTGTGCCAGAGGGGCTCCCACTTGCAGTGACCTTAACGTGAGTTTGTTTACAATGCATGACATGTTGAAGTCATCTTAACTTTTTTCTCATGGATCAGTTCCATAGGGTCTTCCACCCCGTGTGATTTTATGTGAGTTTGTGATACGCAATGTGACGAGGCTGAGGCAGAGCAGCGAGGTCGGGGAAGAGAGAAGGAGGGAGTGAGAGCACACACACACACTCAGTCAATCCGACATGGACTCGACACGGACTCGACACGACTCAACGGACGCAGACACAAAGTGGCAAAGTCGCAAAGTCGCAATCTTGATTCCGAACCCAATGTTGCAGCAAGTCACACTGACGCACAAGCACTGAGGCTGAGAACTGAATTCCCCGAACTCAGCTTGAGTCCGGTCTTAAGTACCGGACTCAGCTTGAGTCCAAGGGCAGAAGTGCAATTTGCCTCAGGGCTGAACTGAAAATCGAAGGTCTGAGCCTGGGCGCCAGAATGCCGGATGGCGCCAAGTATCGAAATCCGAAAGTGCCAGAGGTGGGATTTGAGAACGGGCGCCAACTGGAGATGGCGCCAACTGTCCGGAACCGGAGATCAGAGACTCCAAAAAAATAGAATAGCAGCCTGGCGGGTGATAACCCGTGGACCAGGGATCGGGCCCTGGCTGGGTCCGTAACACTATCCCCTCCCTCTGGAAGGCAACGTCCCGGCTGCCAAAGACCCAATGAACAACTGTGAAGGACAGGACAGGGCCGATCACTGGTCATAAACGAAAAGGGGGAGTAATGCAAGTAGCAGGGTAATCCTATGGGGGTTGTACAGGGATGAGGGAATCAATGGTCAAGTAAAAGGGTAATCCTACTAAGGCTCTACAGGGATGAGGGAATCAATGCTCAAGTAACAGGGTAATCTTACTAAGGTTCTACAGGGATGAGGAAATCAATGCTCAAGTAACAGGGTAATCCTATTGAGGTTCTACAGGTAACAGGGAGGTCCTATTGGTGTTCTACAAGGTTGTAGTGTTATGTACGCGATTGAACTTCAATCCAGAACGAGTTCACACGTTCCCATACACACATGCAATTGCAGAGTAGACTCGAAGGAGGCAAATCCACACAAAACCGGAGAGAAGATATGCACATCGGAAGCTCAAAATACCCGCTTATCAAGGACCCTGGCAGATTCTTGATGTGATTGGCGATGTTGATGGTCCTTCCTATGTTGTTGAGATTCCTCCACATTTGCACACGTATCCGGTGTTCCACGCTTCAAAATTTTTGCCTTGCGTTTAAACGCACTGGGCACTGATCTCTGTGATCGAGACGCAAAACGGGCCTAGAAAACCCATTAAAAAAAAAAA